AAGTTTAAAATAAGGAGTTTTGAGAAAGAACAAGGTGTGTGATGCGTGCGACCGGCCGAACTTAAGTAAATTTTCCCAAAGATACCCATACATGTTATGTTATGATGTGATATGATTATGAGAACTGCATGCTAGAATAGGGCTAAGGATCTAGGAAGGATGCCTTGTATGCCTATTATATTTGTATGAGAACTGCATGCTAGATTAGGGCTAAGGATATAGGAAGATGCCTTATGTGCCTATTTATGTGCCTATTGAGTTATATGCTAGAACTGATTAGTCAGTAATATGATGGCCTGAATAGGACATGCTTGGTATGGTTACTCAATGCTCGAATGTTGCTTGCTTTGTGCTTTTAGGAGTTCTAGTTATCTTTAACTAACTAGTAAACGGATACGTTAAGTTACATATTGCAAAGACTAAATATTTTCAGAAGGTTAGGTCTAGCCCTATTTCGCAGCTCTTGTTTGAGTCCAACCGTTGTAGGGTAGGACCTCTCATTCGAAGAATTATCTGGTCTTAGTGATATGTAATGGTATTCGCAAGCTAGTTAGGTAAAGGTAGCAGGGATTCCTTATGCATCTGATGGCAGAGAGTAGGTCGGAGAGTTACCCTAGGGTAAGCCTAGGATGAGATTAGTGCAGTGAGCAGTAGTAGTGAAAGGGACTTGGTGAAGTCAAGGCAATCCTTGAGGAAAGTACGGATAGATGTGGAAGGTAGTATGGGCCCGTACTACTGAAAGCAGAGGATCAGTACTCAAGTCAAGGAGGGCCAAGATAGAACCAGGGAACTTGTAGTATGCGAGTCCTTCTGAGGTTATGTATGACCCTGACAATTATGTGTTTTTGTTTCAAAATGGTGATGATTACGCGACACGGGGGAGGAGGAGGTTCCGGGTTAGGATCAGGTTCAGGATCAGGTTTGGGATCGGGTGTCGAGCCAGTTGGTAAGGGACTACGTGAGTTCATTGCTTCTGAGATCACTAGAGGCATCCTTGAGTCGACCCCGGTGATTTTCGGGTCGATCAAGGAAGGGATTATTGAGCTGATGGAGGATCGCCTCAGGGCGTTTAGGAGTGACTGGGCGGCTAGCCAGTCAGGGGCGCGCACATTGTCCTTTAAGGACTTCAGGGGATGCGGTGCGCCAGACTTCCACGGGGGTATAGGACCCCATTGCTGCTAGGAGATGGATTGCAGACATGGAGTCTGCTCAGTTGACTAGCTTCTGCCCTGAGGGGTCGAAGGTTCGATATGTTGCTGGGTGTTTGAGGGACATGGCTAGAGATTGGTGGGAGTCAGTTGGTGATTCCTTGGGAGCCTTAGCCGTTGAGGCTATGACTTGGTCGGACTTTGTGACCAGGTTTAGGGCTGAGTTTGCGCCGGCTGTGGAGCTTCAGCAACTGGCCAGGGAGTTTCTGGACATGGAACAGACTATTGAGACGGTGGCGAAGATTACCGCCAAGTTTCGGGAGAGGGCCTTACTGGTGCCTCAGTATGCAGGAGATGAGGAGATGCAGAAGACCCGCTACCATGATATGTTGAGAGCTGATATTCGGGAGCATGTCAGCTACTCAGCATGCCCGACCCTGGATTATATGATTGCCAGGGCGACGGAGAGGGAGCACCTCGGGAAGAGGAAGGCAGAGGACGGGCAGGTTACTGGGGCTTCAGGGAAGAAGCCCAAGGGATTCGACTCTAGGTCGAAGAGCCAGCAGGGCCGGAGCCGCTGTGGGAAATGCGGCAGGTCACATGAGAGGGTTTGTCGCACTGAGTCGGGATCAGGCTGCTATAAGTGCAGCAAGACTGGGCACTTTGGTAGGGATTGTACTGCCCCTACCCCCACTTTTCAGACATCAGACCTGATTTACTTTCATTGCAATCAGGAGGTCCATAAAAAGGCCAACTGCCCGAGATAGACAGCAGCAGCGCCAGTGACGGCGCCAGCTCCAACGACCCTGCGGATTACTGATGGTCGGCAGGGCAAGTCAGAGGCTCCAGTGGTGAAGAGTCGAGCCTTCCAGTTGACTACCGAGAAGGCACGCACTGCACCCGATGTGGTGACGGGTATGATTTCTTCTCCCTAGCTTTTATTATATGTTGTTTATGATATTTATGTGCCATGTTATGTGTTTTGTTCAGGATCGTTCCATGTGAACGGTATTCCAGTTCAGGTGTTGTTCGATTCAGGTGCTACCCGATCATTTGTCTCTCTTGAACTTAGCAAGAGGTTCCCCGAGTCTTCGGGCATGTTGGATTGCCCTCTAGAGGTCGAGATTGTTGACGACCGATCAGTTCGAGCATCACAGGTTTTCAAAGATTGTGTTTTAAGGTTGCTCGAGGAGCGCTACCTGGTGGACTTGATTCCCATACCATTTCATGGGAACAAGGTCATCATCGGGATGGATTGGTTGAGCCCTAATGGGGCTGTGATTGACTGCGCACAGCAGTTGGTACGTGTTAGGACCCTAAGTGGGGGAGAGCTGGTGATTCAGGGCGAGAGGCCACAGCGCGGATCAGCTTTATGTTCAGCAGCGAGGGTTAGGCGCTACCTTCAGCAGGGTTGCGCCGGATATGTCGCCTACGTCATGGATACCCAGGAAGAGGGTAAGGCGACTGTGAGTGATGTGTCGGTGGTGCGAGAATACCCGGATGTGTTTCCAGATGAGTTGCCTGGAATACCGACGGAGAGACAGGAGTTGTCTATACAGCTGCAGGAGCTGTTAGACAAAGGATTCATCTGACCGAGCAGTTCACCCTGGGGAGACCCGATTATGTTCGTGAAGAAGAAGGACGGGTCGCATCGGATGTGTATAGATTACCGAGAGCTGAACAAGGTAACGGTGAAGAACCATTACCCACTCCCGAGGATTGATGATCTTTTCGACCAGATACGGGGGGCATCTTGGTTTTCCAAGATAGATTTACATTCAGGCTACCATCAGATGAGGGTCAGAGACGAGGATGCACAAAAGATTGCTTTCCGGACTCGCTATGGCCACTATGAGTTCGTGGTGATGCCCTTCGGGCTCACCAATGCTCTTGACGCGTTCATGGACCTTATGAACCGCGTATGCAGACCGATGTTGGATTGGTCTGTGATAGTATTCATCGATGACATCTTGGTTTACTCCAAGACGCAGGAGCAGCACGAGGAGCACTTGCGATAGGTGTTGGATACCTTGAGGAGGGAGAGCTTGTACGCCAAGTTCTCCAAGTGTGAGTTCTGCTTGCACGAGGTGCAGTTTCTTGGGCACCTTGTCAACCAAAACGGTATTTTGGTTGACCCAGCCAAAGTGTAGGCCGTGATAAGATGGGAGGTTTCGAAGTCTCCATCTGAGATTCGGAGTTTCCTGGGATTGGCGGGCTATTACCGGAGATTCATTCAGGATTTCTCCAAGATAGTCGTACCCCTGACTCGGCTGACGAAGAAAGTCTTTGTATTTTGCTGGGGGCCTGAGTAGCAGGCAGCGTTTGAGGCATTGATGCAGAGATTATGTGAGGCATCGATCCTCGCCTGCCAGAGGGCGTGGAGAATTTTGTGCCATATTGGGCCTTTTGGGCCATATTAGGCCATTCGAGATTATTCATTTTGGGCTAAGGACTTATTGGACTTGTGAAAAGACCCATTTGAAGTGTTGGGCCCAATTTAGAAAATTGGGCCATTAGTGGGCCTTAGGGAGCCTTGATGGGTCATGGGTGCTTTGGGTTAATAAATTAGAATTGGGCCTTAGGAATGGTTCAAGTTGGGCCAAGGGGGTAAAATTGTCATTTTACCCTAAGTAGTGTTATAGATTCTAATTGAGTACTATTATGATTATGATAGCCGGGAGTCGTCGGAGCAGCTGTTAGAGATTACCTCTCGTGAGATTCGACACTCAGCTTTACGAGGTGAGTTGCATTCCAGTAGCAGTGGGTCTACGGCCACAATGTCGGCCCACTAGTAGGAGTTGATTGATAGATGATTGTCTTTGTGATAATTATCTAGGTTTGCTACTACCTGATATGTTTTACGTGATTAGCATGATGTGATATATGTGATAGTGGTAGTAGCGGGATTAGTCCCGGTTACCGGTTGAAAGATACCGAAGGGGTCGTCAGAACCCACGCATGTATAGTAGTATGTTCATGATATGTTCTTATGTGGCAGTGGTAGGGGTGAAATAGTCCCCGGTTACCGGTTGAAAGATACCGAAGGGGAGGTCAACTCCCGGTTACTGGTTGGAAGATACCGAAGGGGAGGTCAGCTCCCGGTTACCGGTTGAAAGATACCGAAGGGAAGTCCAGCTTCCGATTATGCTAGTCAGATAACGGTTGAAAGATACTGAGGGATAGGCAGTATGTGCTATGATGGGGGAACTCACTAATCTTCGTGCTTATAGTTTTCAGTTTTGTTTCAGGTACCTCTTCAGCGAAGGGGAAGGAGCCGGCACGGTAGTAGCGCATCGCACACATATGATTTCCGCATTTTGAGATCCATGAGATTGTACTCTGACAGTATTACTATTTTATGTTATGGTTTTGAGACACGTGACTGAGGTTTTATGAAATGATATAAATCGTTGATGTTTTCAGTAAAATGTTTTATAAGTTACTTAATTAAAAACAGAATTTTTGGTCTTGAAAATTGGGATGTTACAACCCTCCTTCCCCATTCTGCTAAAAGAACATGTGTTGGATTAACTTCTGGTTACTTCGTCTTGTACAGGGAGAAAACGCGTGACTTCTGGCTTGTGAATCCTATCACAAAGCATGGACTTCATTTTCCTAATGTCCCATTTCGTGTAAATCCAGGTATATGAGTCAAGGCTATCCTTGTCTTTTCACCTTCAATACCTGGGTATGTTGTTTGTTGTGATAAATAGATACGACTACCAAATATGGATTTCTATAGAGGGAAAAAGAGCATGGAATCATGTGTACACCACTTTTAACATCCATGATTTACATGCTTTCAAGGGGAAGATATATACCTTGAATGCAGATTTTTCACAGGTATTTGAAATGAGACTTGCTTTGGTGCTAACATTGACATTACTCCATACACGTTTTCTGAAGCCAATCCGAGTTTTCGAGTTTGTAAGTTCGGATGAAAACCTTTATGTGATGGTATACCGGTCACAAAGTTATGACAATATTCAAAAACAAGATATTTACAAACTGAATTGGGTGCCTCTTGAAAAGACAATAGAAGAATGTGCATTCTTTCATAGTTACATGAGGCAAAGTGGTGCTCCTATTAAACTAGAGTCATGGGTTGCCCCATCGTCCCAATACTGGAGATTTGTTGACAGTGATAATCTTGGAAAAGGCAGGTTGTTTGTTGCAAAAGACATGTGCTGCTTTCCTCATGATTTTCTGACTGCAAATATCTTACATGAGTAATAGGCTTTTTACCACTCTTATTTTTGTTTTTGTTTTTTCATATATTGAACATTCTTAAGATGTTGAGAGTCAACATTATTGATTTGTATTTTGCAATTTATTGTTTAAAGAATCGTGTTGTTGTGCACTCTTTGCTTCAGATGGAACAACTATATATCAGTTATATCTCCCTTTTATTATTAGGTCTTTTGGTGTAATTGTGGGATATCTTTTCATTCCATATTAGAATAACCCCTTTGTTAAGTGGTGGGTTTTGAAAATATTGCATCATCTATAGAATATGATATTACAATATACAATATATATCATATAACGTAGTAATAAAAACTAAAAAGCTACAAAAAGATAATAAGTGTAAGAAATTGGAAACGATGATATAGATATGTGAAATATGGTACATCTTAGAATTTATCTAATATGAATTGTTTATGAACACTTGTATGTTTATTTTGTATTTGTTTTGAAGTTTCATGTTCAAAGGTGAGTCACACAACATCTCACAAGATGTTTCATAGAAAATATCCTCAGTTTATTTGTTGTTTTATTGAGCCACAAAAACTTGTAATTATTTAAATGCTATGTGTCTCTTTATCCTTTCATATATTGAGCCACAAAAGCTTGTAATTATTCAAATGCTATTTGATTGATTTATCATCTTTTTTCGTTTAACCTTTACCGGTTAAATAAACCTAACACTTAGATAGATTCAACAAGTTGATAAACCTAACATTTGGATAAGCCTAACATTTAGATAGGCCCAACGATTATATATGCCCAACACTTAGATAAACTCAAAATTACATAGGCCCAACACTTAAAAAAGCCCATCTTTACCATCTTAAATCAATTTAAAACATTAAGAAATGGTAATCATTCAAATTAACCAATTCCCACATCTTAATACAAATTAAACCCAAATGCTAACCTAGCGATGAACTTCTTTCCATGTTTCCTCTTAATATATATTTGAAAGGTTTTCATCTTAAGTCATCATCAACACTTATTCCTTATCACTGGTCACCAATTCAATTCCCCTAAACATAACTTCATTATCGATAATTTCACACCTAATTGTCAAAAGATCTAGCCCCGGGTCATGAATATTAGAGACTCCCCTCCCCCTTTGGTTGTACCTTCTCATAAGGAAACATGTGATTCCCTTTCTACAAGCAACCTTTATCTTTAATCCCGACCAAAAAATGTAACATCCAGTTTTCAAGTATGAATTTTAATGCTTAAAATATCATGGAATTTGGTGGCCACGACATGGTGGGGAAGATCACCACGACGTGGCAACTACATTTGGGTCGCGATCATTTTTAGTTGCCATGACGTAGTCGTGTATTGGCGACGACGTGGCGACGTCCCAGGCTCAAACCCTAATTTTTCTGGCTTAAGGACCTATTTTAGGGATGAGATGGCTATGGTTTGTCCACCCTTAGCCTCCATCACCTCCAAGAGCCTTGGAGCAAACCCTAATATACCCTTCTACATATTTTAGCTCCATTTGATGTTTTTGCCCCTTTGAAAGAAGAAAGAAGGAGTTGTAGAGATACAGAGCAGCAAGCAAGCTTCATCACAACCTTTTGTACATCTTTTGGACCCTTGTGAGTGTCCATGTTCTGTCCTTTATGGTTATAGTTTCTTAGATCTTGCCTTTTATGGCATTTTGAGTCCCTTTTATGATCTTGGTTGGAGTTTAGGGATGAACTCCAGATAAATTTTCCAACTTTATCAACCTTGAGTGTCCTTTGAGTGTTTGACCTTTCTGATCTAGAACTTGGGAGTGTTTTGAAGCTATGCATGATAACTAAGTCACTTTTCTTACCTTTTGAAGTAGTTTTGAGGGAGACATACATGTCCATAAAGTAATGATTTTTATGATCCTTTATGAAGCAAAGATACCTTCTGGAAAGTTTGAGCAAAGAACTTTACATATTTAGAGCTTAAACAATTAAGTTGTTTTCAGCCAAAAACCACGACGTGGTATGATGCTTTCCACGACGTGGTGAAGGAAGGCTTTGCGACTGTTTTGCTGGTTTGTTGCCATGACGTGGTGACATGTTTGTCACGACGTGGTGGCAAAGTTGGTCGCGACTGTGTTGGATAGCCACGACGTGGCCAGTGGTTGGCTACGACGTGGTGACCGTTGACTATTTGACTTTGTTGACTTTTGGTCAAATAGCCAATTTTAGAAAGTAGAATAAGGTTTTTTGTAACATCCCAAAAATTGAAAAAAATTAAAACTTTTCAAAACAACCCTTTTGTCTAATAGAAGTGTTACAAAATCATTGTTTCAAAACATTATTTAAAATCAGAGTCTCCCAAGATCCAATTAGTTGTAAAACAAAGGATGTGTACGGTCACACCTTCACCTTGCCACGGTCCATTGAAGTACCTGAAACCATAAACCAAAACTGTAAGCACAAAGCTTAATAAGTTCCCCTAAAATACCAACACATCACAATATCATAATAATAACAACAAAAGCATGCATACAAAGCCTTCAGTCCGACTGGAATGCCTTGCCGGCCTACAGTCTACCTGGTACGCTCACAGAACCTTCAACATGACTGTTACGCCACATCGGGCCTTCAGCCTATCTGGAACGTTCTTTGGTCCTTCGGCCTGACTAGTACGCCCCACTGGCCTTCAGTCTATCCGGGATGCCCTGGGTCTGTTAGCCTTTAGCACAAAGCAGGATCGCCTCAACCCAACCATACATACACCGTGTCGACACACACACACACACATACACACACACACACACACACATATATATATATATATATATAATATATATATATATATATATATATATATATATATATATATATATATATATATATATATATATAACAGACAATAATGCAAATAACCAGCCAGTAAACAAACAGACATATCTTACAGATCACTAAGCATAGCATCATCCTATCTACCAGTATATAGATCTAACAGATCTCTACATCACACCATCATATGATAAACCAGGATAACAATCCAAAGGGTCGGCCTTGGTGCCTTCGACCCGTAAGTACAATGAGGAAAACTCATCTCGCTGACTGAACAGAACTGATGAGGACCGACTCTGAATCTCAGCTCTCTAACCGATACCTATTTCCACCAATTGACCAATTCCATCGAAATCCCAAAATACCCTCAAGGTCCAACTTGGTCAAAGTCAACGGTCAAGGTCAACAGTCCATGTTGACCCAACACGTCGTGTTCCCCTTGACCACGTCGTGTTCCACCAGCATCCAAATAGTCGGGAAAACCTCAACCAACACGCCGTGTTGACTTGCAAACAAGTCGTGTTCGCCTGAGTTCCAACAACTTAATACATCCAGCTGTCTCTTCGACTTCAAGAGCTCCAAAGCTCAGATCTAGACCAAGATGTGATTAAGAAGGATAAAGTTGGAAGTCAAACCAAAAAGTTCCAAAACCCAAACCATAAAGCTTGATAATGCAAGGGCTTACCCAATATGCACTTAATCCTTAAAGTCTAAAGTTCATCCTTTCCATAAGTGATTCTAACACCAAAACCATCCCAAAGGTTGGTGCTTTTTAGACATACATGTCCAATACATGTCTTGAACGCATATTAGGTCAAAATGAGGATTTATGACCTAATCTCTATGCATGGCATCAAAACTTGATTAAAGACCAGATCCAAGACACTACTAGGTCACCTTGACCTGGAGATTCATAAAGTTGCAAACTTTATGAGATCTAGCCATTCCAACATTCAAGAACAAGAAGAAAAAGGGACAAAACCCAAGATCTAACAACTTTGAATGATAAAAATCGAGTCTTGGACACTTACAAAGGTCCAAAAGAGTGCTAAACTGAAGAATGGGGACTTACTTGCTAGAGCTTTGCTTCTTTCTTCCACCGTCTTCCTTCTTTAGCTTCAAAAACACCAAACTAGCTTCAAAAATGGGAGGGAAAGATGATTAAGGTTTCTTCAGGGCTTGAGGGGCTGAGGGTGAACAAACCCTAGCCTCCACATTCCTTTAAATAGGGAGCAAAACCTGGAAGATTAGGGTTTCATTCCAGCCATCAACATTCAGTGTTCCAAGAGGTAACACGTCGTGCATGTTGCCCAAAATGAAACTCGCGCCTCTTCTTATCTGGACACGTCGTGTTGGTGCCTCCAACACGCCATGTTCAATCCTCAAAAGGAGATTTATACCCAAAGTTGTTCCTCAAATTTCCGGGTGTTACATTTTTGACCTTGGATGTTTCATTAGGGTGGTGTGTAGCACCAGCCTTTCGACTGTACGAGCTTGGGTGTTGTCAACTTCAAGTGTGAGGTGAGTTTTCTCAATATACTATGTAGGATGTTAGTCGTCTTTATGACTCTTACATGGAAGACCAGGATTTGACCCCTGGCAATTGTATGAAAGACGGCCCATGGCAGTTGTATGAATGGCCAGGATCTGGCCCTTGTCAATTGCATGAAAGACCATGATTTGGCCATTGGCACTTGTATGTAAGACCATGATTTGGCCCATGGAAGAAGGTGATTGTAAGACTATGATTTGGCACATAGCATTCACTTGGGGTTGAAACAGACCCGTGATATTATGTATGGTATGTAGTATTTTAGGGAACTCACTAAGTTTTGTGCTCAAGGTTTTATGTTTAAATGTTTCAGGTACTTCTGGTTCCAAAGGGAAGGGTTCGGTTTGATCGCATTGCATCCCCTGGAGTTTCTCCGCACTATCTTTTATGACTTATTTCTGATGTTTTGATAATACATTATACTCTGATTATCTTTTGGAATTATTGAATGAATGGTTTTGGTTGATAGAAAAATGAAATTTTTACTTCGTATTTTTGGGACGTTACAAGACAGTTTGCGTTGGTTATGTACTTCAAATGTTAGACACTACCATTATACACCAACAATGAATATTGTTCTAATTGCAAACATCGTAAACATCTAATTGTGAGAAATAGCTAAAGCCTCTACTACAATTCCGAAATCGTGGAACATTTCAACATTTGGAAACGAAGGCTCATGATTAAGAACACCATGTATGATATTTGTGATTCATCTGAATGACATCAACCATGAAACTCATCAACAAATTGATACTTTGTAGTGACACTTTATATGAAGACTTCAAATTGTTATATTTTTTATGGATTTCTACTAGGTGTCCGAAAGTTATTAGTCTAGTGGTTTGTTTGGATGTCTTTACGACAATTTCCTTCTATTTGTGGTCTCTGTTCTTTTGATAGCTTATGTCTAGTTTTTTATAATTATTGTTTATAAACAACCTTTTGGTAGCTTCTTTCTAGTTTTTGATAATTATTATTTAAAAAAACAACCTTCCAACCCATACTACTAACAAACACTAAGCATGACCAAAATAAAAGTTATATAAGAATGAAAAAAATAAAATTATCACGCTCATACTATAACATAACATAACTATAGCCAAATTAAAACCGAATAAAACCCTCTCATAAAATCTTGTGCAAAGACATATATGATAATATTTACACATAAAAAATACCTTGCAAAAATTAAGACACTCTGTATCGTCATCACTATCTTACATTACAATCGTAATTCATTTCCTAACCTCCCTACACAAAAACAAAGGTATATAAGAAAAAAAAAAAAAAAAAAAAAAAGTTTAACCGTATCTAGCAAATATTATATTCCTAGTAAAGAAACTTGTCTTTGAGCATCCCATCATTCCGTTTCCATTCCGTTCCCTAATGTTTTTAGCTACAAATTCTTCTGTTCCACTCCTGTTGGCAACCTTGATTCGTCCAACAAGAACTGAATGAGGGATCGTAATCTTCATGGCTCCCACTGGCACCCTTGACTAATTCTAGATGAACTAAACGGGGAACAAAATCTTGGTCGTCTTCATCTACAATATCAGTGCTACTGTAAATTTCATATACCATATCTTCATCAAATTTATATGGCAATGGATGTAATTCTAAGGCAGAGAAAAAGGAGTCGGAATGATATTGAAAATCTTCTTGAGCAATTCTAGAGAAAATGCCTACAATAAGAATGCTAATTGTAAAAAACATAAGTAAAACGTAGCTAGGTTTTTCATCATATGCGAATTTCTTGAAGAGAACAATAAGTTTTTGGTGATTATGTGAAAGGAAAAAGGAAACGATCTTAGCCAAGAAAGATAGAAGTTTTGGAACCCCACCGATCTTCATGAACTTTTTTCTTAATTCTTGCCTACTTTTGTTTCCGATGGGAATTAGTATATTTTGTGCGTGTGTGTATGTGTGTGTACATACATACATACATACATACATATAATGCATATGAGAAGTATGTTTGTAAATGTTCATGATGGTTGACTTGTATGTATGTTCATGTATGATGTATATGTGTTTTACAATGATTTGGGATTTGACTATGTCCAAACCATATTATATCTATATACAGAATGAAGCTGTGTTGAGTTGTGATGTCAAAGAACATATTAAATAAGAAATCATAAAGAACATGTTAAATGTATATGCTTTTGCACCATAATAACAAGGAAAATGAGAGGAAAACGTAGTCTACTTGTGGAAGTTTAGCGCAAAAGTCGATTGTGTGTGATGTTGTACAAATAATAGATTATTCATATATTGTGTACATGTCATGAAGATTAACAAAGCTAGAAGATCATTGACCAACTAATACTTCCACATTTGATGGAATATTTTATTTACTAAAAGAGTAGAGAGTAAATTACAACCTCCGGCCCTATGATACATCAAAACTTACGTTTTGGCTCAAATATCTCATTTGTTGTATAGGTAGTCCCTAAAATTTACTTTTGGTGCAAGACTGTCTCTTAATCACCCTTAAACTTAATTATGCAATCGGTGTGTCTAGATTAAATCACTAATTAGCCATTTCGTAGAGTTCAAAGCTTTTTCATGGTATTGAGAAATTCACAAAAATGAGAGATTTTTTTTTTTCGGTGTAATACTAATGGATTCCACAATGGGCTTAGGCACGTTCCACATGGGCCTCTTTCGCAGACAATTTCGTAAATGATATTATTTTTTTTCGTAGCATAAAAATGACCAAAACGACATTGTTTTTTTTTTTTTTTTACTATTTCATATTATCATATTGTCCAATGCATTTTGCAGAGGAATGGATAGTTACTTGTAGGATTTTGTTAAATTTTGGCTTTTATTTGACAAATAATAAAATAAAAAATATATATATAATAATATGCATTAGCATTTATATGATGAAAGTATAAATAAAAATATTAAATAAAAACCTGAATATTAAACCGAATGAAATTGCACTCCAGTTATAAAAACATACATATAAAAGTGGGGCACCTTTAACTAATTTTTTTAAGTTATTAGTTAATTTAAGGCTGCAATGGTCCCCGACAAGAAAACTTCAACCAAAATTTTCAACAATTTATTTTGTACATTTGCAAACTCTAATATTAAAAAAGTCAAGTTGAATAAGATCATATATATTAAACATTATATTCAATTGAAGGTTGAATCCAACAAGTTCCTACTATTGGGGATTTTAAACATGACGAAATTGAATGTCTATTTTCCCAAAAAAATATATTAAACGCAATAGGCGTTCTCCTATAATATATTAACGAGATAAGTAGATAACCATAAAAATATCAATATTTGATTTAACCTTTAAAAAATTAATCATCTTTTTAGCTAATCGTAAAATGATGATCAATTTTAGAACATGTGCCAATCGTAAAGTATTGTAGTTTTGATATATCTTTTTCAATAAAAAAACTACAATTATTCCATTAGATTTTGCAACTTTCTAAAACATTGTATTTTCTCCAAAATCGATATATTCACAATATAAAAACTATAGAACATACGCATAAGGCCAGGGGAGTGTGTGTCGAGCTCCATCTCAGCTTCTTCCTTGTCCAAGCTTTGTCCAACGGCATGTGGTTGGCTGGTTGCCCACATCATCCTTCTCAACAACCTAATACATAATATGGGTCTAACTATACATCAATATACACTATAGATATACACTAACTTCTTCCTCGATTTCTATTGGAAGATATGATCCAAACATTCATGAGATTTCGCAATGATGTGACTGTTGTCTAATATACACAACTTTATAATGTAAATAAAAATATCTAACTTTGGTAAATATATTTGGAAAAAAAAACTCAAGAAAAAAAGTTGTAAAATTGTTTTTGAAGGTTTGAAATAGGGCGGAGTTTTCTAAATACCTTTTCAACATGTATACAATACCATCCTACTTAATAAATAAAGGTTTCACACTCTCATTCAATTTATCAAATGTCATTTTGTGGTTATTTTGAATTAATTTTTTTTTCCACATGTCATTTTATTAGTTTTCCTATTTTGTTAAATTTTGTAATAATTACAATAAATGTACTAATAAATTGATATCAATTTCATTTAATGAAGTTATCTTCTATTTTCAAAATTTCAAATTAAAGTTCATTAGTTTCTTTTGTTTATTTATTTAAATTATTTGTTTAAATTTAAAAGATAAAAAAAACATTTCAATTTTAATAATTAATTATTTTTCTTATTTTCATATAAATCGAAAGTTTTTAAATATTTAGACTTTTATATTTAACTTTTTTTTTAAAAAAAAAAACTCATATATTACATGAGTTTTACAGCTAATGTTCCACTATACACCAAGTTTAGCATGTTATTAATTACTATATGACATTTTTACACCAAATTAACATCAAAATAAATAAAATCATGAGAAAAGTGAGTTTTAAAAATGTTCTTCAACGTTCAGACATTTATAGGGCAGAGTTCTGAAATAGCTTTTCAAATCAAAATTGAAAGATTTAATCAATGGAAACCTTATTTCTAGGAATATATGTGCAACGATTTAGTAAAGTGACAAGTTGGGATATTGCATTGCCAAGAAAGAATTCAAAATTGGTTGCACAATACGATGTAAAAGCTTCGAGATACCCGTTTTTAATACTATGAACCACATTTTAGGTATTTCGAAACTTGCAACCGACCAATTAAGAAGTTAGAGGTCATTTTTTTGCTATTAGACTATTAATAAAAAACAGTCGACTTGTTAGATGTCTCATCAAATAGGCCTAATTTTTGTGACTATTTTTTAATAGTTTTTTTTTTAATTATTATTTGAACCTATGTTAACCATGATATATATTTACCTGAAAATCACATCTATTATTATCTAAGAAATGTGAAAACGGAAATTAAATAACGATATTGATGAGAAAAATGAAATATATATCATACACATTATTTATATTTATAATTCATAATAATTACACAACCATTAGTTTCATTTACACAAATTATCCGACAACTATACATATATATTACGTATATGTTACTTATTCACCAATCCTATCTTACATCAGAAGCATTTTGAATTATAAAAACATTTACCAACACCTTTATAATTGCAAATACCCTTACATCCCTATAAAAAAAACAAAGGGAAAAAAGAGAAAATAGCATGTATATATACAAACCATCAAACCTTAAAATATCCTAACCATATCAAGCTAGTATTCCAAGTATCGAATATTGTCAACTAGCATCTCCTCCTTCCATTTCTTAATGTTCTTGGCTATAAATTCTTCTATTCTAATTTTTAGATCATCAACGTCGTTACTATCATCTGAAGTACAATTATCAACATCATCTTTGTCACCTTCATCATCGTTATCCTCGTCATAACCATCATCCCTATGAAACTCTACAATCTCTTCATCGCTCCTAATGGCACCCTCAATCAGTTTTACGTGAGCAAAACCTGGTATGGAATCTTTGTAATCATCATGTCTCCCTGTGGCACTCTCTATTAATTCAAGATGAACTACTCGAGGGATGAACTCTTGGTTATCTTCGGCCACAATAATATCCCTCATACTATAGATTTCATCAGCATTATTAGCGAAACTATAATTAGTTTCATCTAATATGTTATCACCAACTTTGTATGATAATGAGTCTAATTCTAGTATAGAGAGAAACGGTAAGGAATGATACTGATCAGAATCTTCAGTATCATTTGAAAGTTTGATAGAGCTTAAGAAAATGGCTACAATGATGAGAAAGCTAAGTGCCAAAAACTTCAGCAAAACACAGGAAAATATTATCTCATATGTGTATTTCAGAAAGAGAAGAAGTAATTTTTGGTTACGATCTGTGAAAGAAAAGAAGGATAAGACTTTAGTGAAGAAAGGTTCTCTACGGATCTTCATGTACTTCTTTAGTAGTTCTTGCCTACTTCTGCTTTTAGTGAGAGTTGATATCTTATATACTATTAACAAAGATTCTAAATTCAACCAGGATGAATTAAATAAATTTATTACATAAAAAATGAAAAAATATTGGAGGTATGATGTCAACAAACGTGGAAAATATATATCTATCATTAAAGTCCAATTGTGTAATTTCTTTGAAGAAGTTGAATGTATATGACATTGTATCAAAGTCAAATTATCAGTGTAGACGTCATGTTGATTACACACTCAAACTTATCTTTGACCGTTAAACAACACCACCCCTCCTCCCCCCCCCCCCCCCCCCCCCCCCTACACACCCCCCCCCCCCCCCCCTACACAACAACCCCACAAGCAACCCCAAGTTAATCTTTTTCATTTAGAAAAAAGTTACACTAATAGTCCCTTTGGTCTACAAAATCTCACAAATTCACACCAACATTTCATTTTGTTACATGGACAATCCTTACGATTTTTGTCACCATCGTTTCTATTTTTTATATTTGATCAAACCATTACTATTTTACGCTTAATTTAATTTTATCATCAATGTTAATATATATATACCATATATATATATATATAATATATATATATATATTATATATATATATTATATATATATATTATATATATATTATATATATATCGTAGATAAAAACATTTTCCCTCCTCTCTCCCCAACTTGTAATTAATAGACACACTCCCCTCTTAGATCGGTTGTCAGTCACCACCTAAATCCACAACCCATCCCGATGTGCAACCGCCAAACACTCTCCTCTATAATCACTTTATAATCATGGTTATATATGACGGCCTAGATCTACATCTTTCATCCTTAACATAACTTTTCGAGATAGATAGTATGAGTCTTTAAGGAAGATTCGATGTTTTGAATCTTAAGAAGTCATTTAATATTGAGAAATTAAATATCTTTCTGTAATTTTTTCCTACTCATCCCCAATGGCGGATGCAAGGGTTAAAGAGTAGGGGCACATGCCCCCAATAAATATTCCAATTATTTTTAATTTTACTTTAAAACCCTTTATGTTTTTGAAAAAATTCAAAAAATGTCATCAACAAAATAAAATGCTAGAATCGTCGGTCGCTGCTCATTCCTACTCATGTTAAATGTTGGCACGTGTCACTTCTAATGAAATTAATAATATTTTAATCCATTTATCATTTAACCTAGGTAGAAGAATAAATATAAAGAAAATATAGAAAGATATTTAATTACTCTTTCGTATATGCTATTTTGAATTGCACCCTCGGTCATTTTAATCATACAAAAAGACCAAGACTTCATAGATAATTATATTAATTATATATGCACTTGCTGTCACGAATTTGCTAAGATCTTACTCCTATAACTAAATGTATGAATAACAATCTTCCAAAAACACATACATCATAATTAATTAGTGTTTTTTGTAGTGTTTTTCTTGTATGGATTATAAAGAGTGTTCTACAAAAACTCTTCATACATGTTATGTAATCCTGTACAAGTTTAGAGATCTTTAATTCCTGTTTTTTATTTCCTACTTTGTATTAAAACTTATGAACAAGTTTAATCATGATGTACACGTGTAATGAAATTTTATTTATGTAATAACTTTTGTATGCTTTTAATAATCTATCTAACAATATTTCGTTTTTTAATATTTTATTTAATAATATTTAGTTTTTATCAATTTATACAACTGATATACTTTATAAAAAAACGTTTCCAGTGGTTACCCATAAACATGATAACTTTAGGCCTTAAAATAAAACATCTTTGCATTTTATATTAACAAATTTAAAAAAAAAAAAACAATTTTTACATAAATTTAATCTAGGGTGTTTGAGATTGTTTACTTGGAATGTTTATTGATTTTTTACAGTTAACACCGGTAATATAGAGTCCTAAATGTTTGGATATAAAGAATTTATAGTTATTTTCTACTTAGTTATTAACTTATTTAGAAAGTGTTTAACCAACTATTTCTTTGTTACACGTATAAACACAACTAGGTTAAAACCCGTGGAATCCACAGGTATAAATTTTAAATAGAATTAAAAAATTGATTATCTAATAAAATAATATATCATTAATTTAGAAAAATTTATAAATTGTAATATTGTATTTTTTTAATTACTTTGTAATTTGTAAATATTTAATTACACATATAAATCCACCTATTTTATAAAAGTCATGGTTTGTATAATGCAACACAGTATCACTTTTGAGTTTTATCTTATTAAATCCATGGAAGTTTTGACGAACAACAAGAAAACTGTAAATATTTAATTTGAAAAATAATACGAAGCAAGTATTTTCTTTATTTTAACTTTTTTTATAATGAAGAGAACTTGAAAATCTTAATCGGCAACTTAAAAAAAATCAAGATTTAAGCGGCATACGCCTCGATGTCTGGTAATCGATCTCATTTTTTTCGTTTTTTGTGCTCATTGTTTTGAATATGTGTTTCTCAATTATTGATTTCCATTTGCCATTTGAATCTTTTTCTTTTATGTTTATTCTTGTCCTGTTTATATTTCTTTATCTTTCTTTATCTTTCTTCTGTCCCTATTATGACTAAAAACCTAATGTATATCTCATATATCACTAATAATTCATCAAAGAACTATAACAAACCTGATATGTAATCTCTCAAATATTATGTCGCAAACAAATCTTAGTTGAGTTTCCTTTTGGATCATCTCAATTTACTCATTTCACAACAAAAAGAAATAAATTTACAATGATGTGGTGGTTGTTAAAGGAATGGGTATTGAATAAATCAACATGGCGTATTAAAAGAAATTTGAATAGGAAGAGTAAACATTAAGGATATAAAAGAAAAGAGCACGGTTGACAATAAAATTAGGTATTGAATCAACAATTCAAGATAAAGACAACCCAAAAAGCTATTTCCTAATGTATAACTGTGAAATTTTTTATGAACTTAACGATGCATTTTCTATTCAACTTTACATCCTTCCAAAAAAGGCAAAATAAAAATGCATAACCGAAGGCCAAAAAAAAGCCTTAAACTTACACCAATGTTGACATGGAATTTTCATTTGCAACTCCAGTTCATCCGCTTGAACCTTCGAGGAAGGTTGTTTTTTTTTTTTTTTTAACTTCTTGATTTGAACTCATGATGTAATAATCGAACGTGTGAGAAATAATATAAACAATAATGAATACACAATAGATTGTGTAAAATGGAAATAATCTCAAGCCTGAAAAGCGCAAAATTTTAGCCCCCAGAGAAAGTCAATTTGCAGCACTGATATTGCATGAAAAAAATCACAAAATAAACTTCACTTACGGGAAGGAGAAAGTTGGGCAGATCGGTTTCTGGAGAACTTAACAGGATTCCGAAAATAATCTTGTTATCGGTGTAGAAAAATAGTAGAACATCAAGAACAATAAAAATCAAAATCCATAAAATTTGAAATCGATGCTAGTGACTATTGAGAACAAAAATGTGTTTTTCAGATTTGTCCTCAGGCGCTCGGCGAGATGTTATGGTTTCAGGTGAAATGGATGATACATGTATAAGAAATGCATTTTTTTAACGGCTGGGGAATCACAGATGTCTTGAAACAATATTTCTAACTGGGTCAAAATTAACAGATTCTTGAAATTAGTCTGGTTACCTCTTCCATAGGGAGTATCAACACAATTAATGGATGTGTATTTGTCTTCTGGTAAACACTACCAAAAGTCAGTTTTATAATGATTTGCATTTTTGGTACAACATTTTTCATACAAAAATTAGAAGCATTTTCCTCCATGTTAGCATGTCTTTTCCTTTTCCCAGCAGTAACATAAAAAGGATTTATATTGGGCTAGCTGCATATCTAATGAAGCTTTAACTATTGCTAGTTTTCAGGTTGTCCATGCTGATGTCTATCACTTTCTCTCAGTTCCCCCGCTGCTCGATATAGAAAATCATTCAAAGAATTCAAAAAACATAGAATTTGGAAATTAGACTTTCAAACCTTATAGTTAAGGCCCCTTCCATCAAACTGCTATCCTTTAGTCAAGTCACTACTTCAGTAGACCTGCTGCTCACGACATTTCCACCCTTTTTCACCAAATGACAGCCAAATCTCCATATATTTGCTTTCATAAAACCCATCTCAACCAATCAATTAACCTGATGTTTCCTCCACCAAGTCCTCCACCAATTAATAGATCAAACAAACTCATTAAGATGTAAAATATACAAAATTTACATGTAAATCTAAAGAAGCATAAGCATAGAAAGACAGATCCAGATCTATAGAGACAAATTTGACCCTATATGAATTAAAACAATCCGTGCCTTCAACCAATGACACAAAATCGGTGGTAAATCCTTCATAACCACAAAAACTTCAACGTAAACAAAACTTGAAAACCTAAGTATCATGTGGGATTACCCGATAAAGTGCTTCATTGCCAAAAAAACGAAAAGGCTCCTAGACAAAAAGCATACACAACGAAGAAAAGTCAATAATAGTCACAACTAAGACCAAGTAACAACCGGGGGAGAAAGATGGCACCTGAATTTTTGAATGTAGTTAGCAAAAAGTCAAAAACCTCTCTCTGCTGCATATTTTATCCATCAAAACTTGAAATAGCTAGTTTTATCCATCAACTATTCAACATGTCATCCAAATAGCTATTTTTCCATTTAAAATATGGAATGTTTCTATAAAAAAGCAACCCATATTGTACATACATAAGTAGCTTACAACATAATGTTTCAGAATAGCACAAGTGTACTTACCAATATGACAACATACTGAGACATATTAAGCTTTCAAGAGGTTTATTTTGTTTTAATTGAGATCTAAAAACAAGTTGGTTAGATGTGTGTCAACAAATGAAATCAAAAATCTTGTACAGGAGCAAACCATAAGTCAAAAGAATAAGCTAGAAATGGAAAATCGTAAGTCAGTTATGTAGAAAATGTACCTGTTTGATTTCAAATCGCCAG